GCCCCCCAGCCCCTACCCAGTGCTCCCCTCCCTTTCTTCCTTTCTTTGTGTGTGTGTGTGTGTGTGTGTGTGTGTGTGTGTTTCTATTTGAAATCTCCTGTGATAAACATAGACAAAATACCAAACGAAACAGAGCAGTATAGCAGCCTTCACCCCACCCGGAGACTCACCACCCCTCTCCAGCAATGGAGAGCAAGAGGGGACCTCAAAGAGTTCATGAGGAAATGAAATTAAAATATGACTTTCTTTGGTAAAAAAAAGAAATTTGAAACCCATACACAGTCCTTTCCTTACATGCATTGTCCGTGAACTCTGTGACTGTCCTCCTGTACCTTGTTTCATGGTCTTCCTGCCCACTCTTCCCCCAGTAATTCCGTAGCCAATTCCAGTCTTGTCAGTTTCATACACATACAGTCCCACGTTACTTCGGAAAATTGTATCCATTTGAAAAAATCAAAATTCCTTAATAACAGCAAATGCCCCATGTTTACATTTTCCATCATCTCACAAATGCCTTCTTTTTTCTACCATTGTCTGTTTAAATAAGGATCAAAATCAGGTGCACACAGTATTGTTGATGGATTTGTCTCCTGCGTTTCTTAGATTAAGGGTTTCCTGCATCTCTTCTCTGGTAATTGTTGAAGCAGCCGGGATATTTGTCCTGGGGGCTCTGCTGATTGCGTTCCCATGTGTGTTCATTTAACACGCTTCTCCAGCCTCTGTGTTGCCTGTCAGTTGAAAGTCGGATCCAGATAGTAGATGGGGCACGGGTCAGACCTGTGCAGAAGCATTTTGTAGTTGGTGTGTTGTCAGGAGGTGCGCACCGCCTGATGTCTATGTGTGACATTCGCAGCTGTTGATGCTCTAAGCCGTGATGCGTGGGTTCGTCCTCCTTCCAGAGCTCTGCTGAAGGCCACTGGCCAGTGGTCCAGTGTCAGTCCTGATCCTCCCTGGCCTGTCTGCACCTTTGGCACCGCCGCTTGCCCCCTCCTCCCTGAAACACTTGACGTGGCTGCAGACCCACCTGTGTCCCCTCCCCCCTGATGGTCCTCCTCAGACTCCATCGCTGCTCCCTCCCCGGGTTGCAGCAGGGATCGCTCGTATTCTGCATCTGCCCTCACTCCCACGTCGTCCATTCTCCCAGGTGTCCAGCCATCCGGACAGTCCCACATTCATACCCTCAGCACGAGTTTCCCCTCACCGTAATCTGAACATCTCCACTCAGAAGTCACTCGGGCTTCCCAACCTGCAACGACACGGACCCTGGTCCCTCTGAACCTCTCCCCGACCCCTGGTCCCCACCTGTTAGAAGAACCATAGGATCATTCCCCCAGGTGTTCAGGCCTTCAAGCCAGGAATGTGCTTACTCCTCCCTTCTCCGCACACCCAGGCCCAAGCGCTCCCTTCCACGTATGTTCAAAATCCAGTCAGTTTTCATCGTGCCCACCACTGTCACCCAGCTCCCGGCGACTGCCACCTCTTATCTGGACCACTGGTCCTGTTTCCACCCTGGCCCTGCAGGCTGCTCTCAGCAGAGGCCAGGGTGGTCCAGCGTCCCTCTCATTGCTTCACCCTGAACCAGCCAGCGTTGCTTTTACCCTGTCTTATTCAGGATAAAAGCAAAGTCCACAGTGGTCTCCAGGCCTTGTGTATCGGAACCCTGCCACCTCCGAGGCCTCTGTCCTAGCATGCCTGGCCTCCTGCTTCGCTCCAAACTCCCAGGCATGTTCCTGCACCAAGGCCTTTGCGTTTGCTGGCTGGTTTCTTGTGCCCACCACCACCCCGATCTCCTCGGGGCCGGGTCCTTGCCTCCTGCACGTGTCTGGTGAGATCTCACCACACTGCAGAGGCCCTCTCTGACCACCGTGTGTGCTGACGCAGCTCGCCCTTTCCCTCCCATTTCGTCTCCCTGCCCTCGGGAAGTCTGCTCAGTTCTTCCACTGTGTCCCAGGTGCCTGGAATAGTGCCCATTGCAGCTATGCCCAGCACACAGCAGTGGGATGGCCCCACATTTCCTGGGAGTGAAACCATTCATGGGCTAGGAGTCGACCGTCCCACCTCAATGGTGGCTTGAGGAACGCTACAGCCTCCTCAGGCGTCTTCACGTGGAAGAGGGGGATTGTGTTGATAGCCATGAGGCAGGACTGTCAGGAGGGCCAAGCAGTGGGATGGGGCAGCTCTCGGGACAGCCGGCCTCTCTTTCTCTGCCTGAGGTCGCATCTCTCACTGGCCCAGCATTGAGTCTCCTGGCTGGTGTGACTGAGGTGTGGACAGGCCATCACATTTCACAGTGACAGGGCGGGGTCAGGTAACAGGCTCTGATTTGTTAACTAGAAAAGCCCTGTCCCTCTTCCTGTTCTCACGTGGCACGATCGGGGTGGGGAGAGGGGGGTACATCTTTTGAATCCCAGCCACGAATCAGGCCCTTGCAGTTTTTCATCTGCAGTAATCACACTCCACCCACTCCGAGGGATAAATGATGATATCCATGTTCTTACATCAGAAACATGAGGTCAGGACCAGCAGATGGCATAATAGTTACGTCACTGGACTCTCACATAGTCGACCATGGTTTTAATTCCAGACCTGGTGGCTTAAAACTCGTGCCAGGCATGTGCTTGAGTACCCAGAATGGAGGAGAAAGGTTTGCAGCGTGGCTGTCCCTTCTGGGGGCTTATTTCTCTCTTTCTGTCTGTCTCTCTCTGGCGAATACACACACCTTATAGCAAAAAATCTTTCTTTCTCACACACACAAAAAGTCAGTGGTTCTCTCTCTCTCTCTCTCTCTCTCTCTCTCTCTCTCTCACACACACACACACACACACACACAGAAACCAGAGGTCAGTGGTAAGAAACTCCCTCCAGATCAAAGGTTGGTTTAACAAAAGGCGTGCAGCTGGGGGCGTGGCAGGGTGTAGCTCTCTGCTCCAAAACCCCCACATGATGACTCCTCACGGTGGAGTGCGTGCCACCCTGCCAGCCGGCACCAGCTCTGTCTCCAGCAGTGTGCAAGACATGGGGTGATGTGAGGGAGAACCCGTCTCCCCAGCACTGTCGTCTAGTGGGTGGGCAGGCCGACACCAGTCACAGGAGACACGGGGACAACTGGAGCTCCAGGAGAGCCTGCAGCCCGGCCCAGAGCTCTGACGAGACCCAAGGAGTGCCTCACACACTGATGCTAGAACCCCATAGGGCCGTGGCAGTGACCTTCTGTCAGCCACCAATGAACCTTCTTTATTTTGGGGGGGTTTTTTTGAGAGGTTTTTGCTATAGGGCACATGTGCTCACCAGAAAGACAGAGAGAGACAAAGACAGAAGGCTAGAAATCACCCCCCAGGGGGGTGGCCACACCGCGATCCCTTCTTCTCCATTCTCCTCTCGGGATCTTGGGCACATACACACACATGCCCGGTGTGAGTTTAAGCCACTGGGTCCAGAACTTGAACCGTGGTCGACTACGTGGGAGTCCAGCAACATAGCCACCACACCAATTGCTGGTCCCATCCAGTGACCCTTCTTTCCTGGGAGGGTCACGGACTATTTTAGTCCTCAGCTGAGTCAGAGGGCACTGTGCCACTGTTAGCACATCCCTATAACCTAGATCCAGGCTTCCTGGCCCTTTTCCCTCCAAACATTACCTGTTTTTCAGACCCTTTGAGTACTTTTTAAATGTGTTAAAGTCTTCTCAGAATGACTACAGAGAGCCATTTTTAAATGCTTTTTTTTTTTTTTTGGAGAGATTTTTCACTATGGGGCGTGTGTGCTTGCCAGACAGACAGAGAGAGACATAGAGACAGAAAGTGAGAAATCACCCCCCAGTGGGGATGGTCATGCCGCAATCCCTTCTCCTCCATTCTCCTCTCAGGATCGTGGGCACGCACGCACACGTGCTCAGCATGAGTTTTAAGCCACCGGGTCCAGTACACGAACCGCAGTCGACTACATGGGAGTCCAGCGACATAGCCATTACACTAACTGCTGGTTCCCAATACATTTTTTTTTTCTTCATAAAAACTAGTATAGAAACATTAGCATTTTTAAAGAGGAGCAAAGGATTCGTAATTCTATCTATAATACAACTCTTTGGCCCTCCCCAGGACTGACATTTTCTCACTGTGGTTGTCATTCGAGTGGAAGTATGGTTTTACATCCTGTCTTTTTCCACTGAGCATGTCGGCAAGCATATTTTGCATGCACTTGGGAAGTCTTCATAAACATTTAAGACCCACGCTATTCACTGAATCAAGGGCTGTCATTTAGCCAGCATTCCCTTTCATCAGTAACTTGGAGCTCATGATGGACATCTCCATGTAGTGTTTTCCTCCACCACCTCAGCCCTCTCTCTTTGTCTCTATCTCTCTCAGAAAGAAAGAGATATGCTTGTTTTTTTTAATTTAATGGACTTTATTGAGCAAGAGGCAGGTTCTGAACTGGGCAGCCTTCCTCACCGAGGCTGATTCAGAATGCTCTTGGAGAGGGGTATTTGGACAGGGTCCTCCTGGCTTCACAGTCCTCTGCCCAGCCTCCCAGCTGGCTAGGCTCACAGGTGCTCACCCCTGCACCCTGACTATTCGAGTTGGTCCTCCCAGGTGACCCCAGCCTCCCACAGCAGTGCCCTACAGCTTACACTGCCTGGCCATGCCTGGCCAAGTCCTCAGAATCGCTTCTCGGGAATGGACCAATAGTTTTGGTGGCCACACAGCGTCCCACTGTCTGCACATCCCAGACCTTGGACCTTCAGTTCGTGGGTTTTCACTATAAAGCACTGAGGTGTCTGTGCTGGTGCAGAACACAACACAAATACCTCACTGCACAACTCGAATCACTTTTTAGAATAAAGTTCTGGAGTCAGGGATGCAAGTGAAGCAGTTTGCATATCTTGGGGCTTTTGGATGCCTGGCACTTCTAGCCCCACTGCCTCAGGGACTCCCCCAGCCTCTTCCTCATGACTGCCTGCCACAGACAGTTTCAGACTTACAAGAGAGGAACCTGCTCAGTCTCGTTTAACTCCCTGAGCCGCTCTACATTGGCTGAAGCTGGAGGCTCAGCCCCAGAGTAGGATGCCCTTGAATTTAATTGCTCAGAAGGGACGTGGCTGGATGGGCCGTGAACGGAAACGGCTTCCACACATCGTGGCAGTTTGCAACATTAGGGTTTATCTGTTCCTCTTCTTCCTCTTCCAAGTAGGTCTTTCTGAATGTGCTGTACGTTTCAGGCTAATGGCCCCAGTCTGACTCAGTGTGCTTTCGGCAACTGTTTCCTTGCTGGGCGTGTGTGCTTAGCCCATGCCAGGATGCAGAGCTGCAGATGGGGAACCATGGCCTGAGGACCCTGTGCAGACAGAAGGCTGGCAGCAGCACTGGCCCGGAGGACCTGCCTACACAAACGGGAACGTGACTCTTGCACTTATAGCCTACCGGGTCCTTTGGTCAATTCTGATGTTCATCAACTCATGTAGTGCTCGTCGAAGCCCTGTGAGAGGAGAAGGTGAGGCGCAGAGAGGTGGTTTAATTCGCCCAAGGTCCTGCAGCCAGAAAGTTGTCAAGCTAGAGCGAGAGGTGTGCTTTTGTGCACTCGGACTGCTCTGTAGAGCTGCACCAAGATCCATGGGGTGGTTCAACAGATCGCAGTGTTCCCTAAACCGTGGTGGCCTGTGCAGCCTTAGAACAGAGAAACGGCCCTAGAAATTCTCCTTACGGTGGGCAAGTGGGGAACGCAGAGCTTCAAACTGTGTATCCTGACCCCACGGATAGTTTCGGGGAGAGAGATTCATAAGCACATGTGTGCATGTCGCCAAAACATGACAGAGGCTGCTGGTGGGAGAGGGGAGAGAGATGCGAGGTGAAACCGTTTGCTCTTAGATACCGCAGGATTCATACAAAACGGAGGAAATAGTAATAAATCAGGGCATAACCGTAGAATGCACCACTGAAATTACGTGCCTCTAAGAATTGTTAATAACACGGCAGATACTCTTGCTAAAGCAGGAGGAAGTGAAAGTTACAGCCATGAAAAATAAATAGAAAAGTCAAGAAATGTATCAAAATATTTGAAGTGATTACATCTGGGTGGTAGTCATACGGAAGAGTTTTCTTTTTTAGCTGTATTTTCCCATTCTCTGTAGTTTACATTGTTTATGGTTTTGTGTGTTTCAACTTTTCATTACATCCTCTTACTTGTCGAAGGCACGATATCATGGAATGGAATGTGGATGCCATCCCGGCTTTCGGCAGTTTTTTTTCTTTAAACTTAATTTATTTTATTATGATGTTTGAATTTGTTATCAGGTACGTGAGCTCACCAGGGCAAAAATAGAGATAAAGCAACACTAAGTCCAGGACTCGAACCACGGTCAGCCGTGTGGGAGTCAGCGCCTCAGCCACCACAACCTGCTGGCCCCAGGCTTCCAGCTTTCCCAGGCACTTTGGCCCCACCCTTTGGCCATTCTGAGTGATCAGTGGGGTCTGTTCTCTTCAAGGTGACCGCCTCTCACAGGCGACTGACGGGGACAGAAGCCTCTCCCACCTGTGCTCTGCCCCAGTGACCTCTCTGTGATTGTCTCCCACAGTGGCACTTAGGAAAACAGAAACCAGCCATCATCTCTCCCTAGACAAAGCCAGCGTCCCGCCCGAAGTCTTTCAGAAATCGTCGCAGTTGGCAGAGTTACCACAAAAGCCACCACCTGGGGACCTGCCCCCGAAGCCCACAGAACTGGCCCCCAAGCCCCAAATTGGAGATTTGCCACCTAAGCCAGGAGAACTGCCCCCCAAGCCACAGCTGGGTGACCTGCCGCCTAAGCCCCAGCTCTCAGACTTGCCTCCCAAACCACAGATGAAGGACCTGCCCCCCAAACCACAGCTGGGAGACCTGCTGGCAAAATCTCAGCCCGGAGACGTGTCTCCGAAAGCGCAGCCACCTGCCGAGGTCACTCAGAAGGCACACCCAGCGGATCTCTCCCCAAACGTACAGTCCAGAGATTCCCTCCAGAAGCAAGCATCTGAAGACTCCAGCGACCTCACGCCCACTCTGCCAGAGACACCCGTACCACTGCCCAGAAAAATCAATACGGTGAGTGAGCATCGTGACTGGGCTCTCACCAGCCCTCCGCTGCACCTCGAGAGCTGGGCCAGGCTGTGCACCAGTGTACTTAGAACGTGCGGGCACTCGCTCACCTAACTGGGTATGCTTCTGTGCACGGGTCTGAGCATGGACCCAGACAGGCAGGCTCTGAGACCTGGCTTCCATGCCCGATGGATTGGGTTATCGAAAGAGTAATGTCGTGTTTTGTTATGCAAAAATACATCATGACTTTTCCGACGACCCGATCATTGCACAGCCTTGGCGAATCGCTTAGTGTGTCTGGATGAGCACATGCGGTGACAGGTGAGCAGCAGTCAGCAGGCTGGGACCACTAGCAGGAGGTCACTCCCACTGTCTTGGCACCTCGAGGGCTGATCTCTGTTGTCCTTCAGGTCACGGGAAGCAGTTCCCCGCTCCTGGCTCTGATTGTCTTCTAGGTCTTGCTTCCTCTTGGAGGAGTTGGAGGCAAAGCCCACAACAGAATTCTGCACACCTCACACATTCCATCACTCTCTTGACATGCTTTCAATTCTAAAATGTATCGACTTTAATGAAAGATTACTTTCTTGAGCCAGCCATGGAATGGTCGAGGCAGCTGAATTCCATATGACTCATTGTGTGGTTCAAGTCCTGGACCCAGCAGCTTGAAAAACATGCCAGGCATGTGTGCCCAAAATCCCAAGAAGAGATGGAGGAAAAGGAATGCAGCATGTTCATCCCTCCTAGGGGTGCTTTCTTACTTTTCTCTCTCTCCCTCTCCTTCTCTCCCTCTCACCTTCCCTCCCTCCCTCCCTCCCTCCCTCTCTCTCCTTCTCTCTCCCTCTCCTTCCCTTCCCCCCTCCCTCCCTCCCGAGCGCGCTCTCTCTCTCTCCCCCTTCCCTCCTTCCCCCCCTTCCTCTCCTCTTCCCTCTCTCACTCTCTATGATAAGCACATACACCCTACAGCAAAAGAAGATTTTTTAAATTACTTTTTTCCCAAAGATACCCAAAAAAGGTAGTAGGCACCGTTTACCCTGCACACAACACCCCCATGGGAAAATGGCACCCCAGGTTGAGGAGTACAGTTAACTGAGACCCAGAATTCCTTGCACTGTACCCGGCAGCTCCACTTCCACTTACATGTTATCAAGACAGCACCACAATAGAATATGGCGCATACATACCAAGAAATGCAAATAAGCCCACCCACCACCACCACACCACTGTGGATTTGGGGCATTTGGTATGGTGGCTGCTTTTGCTGTTCACAGGGAGATCTGGCCACTCCCAAGGCGCTCGGCCCAACATAGATGGAGAGACAGCTCTCTTGTTTACTGCTATTTACTGTAGCCGGGCGCATCGTTTGAGATGCAGTGCCTCTTATATCCATCTTCCCGATGCAAGGAACCAGAAGTCCCCCCAAACGAAAGCCCAAGTTCAGAGTGGTGAGGAATTATGACTGTTTTGGAAAGTGCACAGACTCCTCCCACGCCCAGGCCCATCCTTCCGTGTCAGCCCAGCATGTCCTGACTCGGTATTTTGCATGAGGGGACTGAGAAATGTGTTGGTGCTGCACATCGGATATGCAGAAGCTGCACATTTTACATCATGTTTCCTAAAAGCATTTTTAGACTCCGCCGTCATTTCTGCAAGCTGGTGTTGTGGGTGGGGAGGACGGCGTGCTTTGTGGGTTTCGGCAGAGCTGCATTTTGATCCCTGTCCGTATTGTTCGCTTTCTGGCAAGAATAGACCGCTCATGCTCACTGGTGCGGCACGGCCCTGATGCTGCTGTTCCTGGACGGGCTGCCCACCAGGTTTGCTTCCCACCTTCCAAGGTAGAGGAACTCGGGATTCCACGAGGTGAAGTCACTGGCCCACGGTCCTCCATCTTGTAGCCCACGCAGTGCTCTTTTTGTCCCTGCAGTCCATTTTCAGCTAAAACCCGGTTTGTTCATTTAGGGGAAAAATAAAGTGAGGCGCGTGAAGACCATCTACGACTGCCAGGCAGACAACGACGACGAGCTCACATTCATCGAGGGGGAGGTGATCGTCGTCACGGGGGAGGAGGACCAGGAGTGGTGGGTATGTACCGGTCCTGCCGTCGCCCCTGTCTCCGTGCGTGCGTGCTGGGCTGGGCAGGCCCCATGCTGGGCCCCACACGCGACAGTACGCGAGAGTGCCGTCCAGCGTGGCGGTCCTGGCAGCTGCACACTGGCCCGGCAGCATTCCCTGTGCTGTCCTTTGCCACTCTTACATGCTGGAGAAACAGCTGTGCTGCCCTGAAAATGGGTCAGGAGAATGGACCTGTGTGTGCGCTCTGCCCGTGGAGTCAGCACCACACTCGTGAGTCGGAGGCACTTCTAATTTCAGATGCAGAGCTGAAGCGCAGGACTGTGGGGCATGTTCTTGTGGCCACAGAGCTAGCTAGCAGACTAAGTCAGGGCTCTGAACGGGCCCAGCCCCAGAGCCTGTAGGCCACGTCACCTCCCCACGGCCTCCAGGCCAGAGCCAGCAGCCGAGTTCCAGTCCAGGCTCAGCCAGCAGCACTCCAGCCTCACTTCATCTTCAGTCCACTCTGCAGTTCCCTCTTTGTGAGATGGGGCCGTGATACCTTCCCCACATAACTTAGATTAAACGAGAATATGACCGTTGCTTTTACAGTAAAACCTGCTCTCCAGATGTCAGGCTGTTTGGAGCGCAAGGCCCTCGTAGTGGCCTGTTCTGAGTGGCCTGCAGAGGCCGCCCACGCCCCTGTTCAGCCTGTCCAGGGAGTAAATCTCCAGGGAAGCTGGACACCACCTTTTATACTTTCCTTCTTGATCGTTTCCCAGCACCAACATAGAAATTCCACCTTCCTCACAGCCTGAGCCCTCTCCTGTCGAGAAAGACTCAGTCCTCTCTGTCAGGTTCAGCTAGGCCAGCAGAACCTGCTGACACCCAGAAATCCACCCGTACACACAGGTACACGCAAACATGTAGGTGCACCTGCTCACCCTAAGTTTGCTTCCCTTGGGCCTAGCCAGTGACTTCAGATTCTTGCTTGGACTGAAGCAGTATCTCAGGTCCGTTTTGTCTGCAGAGACATTTAGCAGTATCTGTAGATGTTTTGTTGTCACATGATCATGGAGGTTGTGGTCATTATTTTCTCTGTGTTTCACCGAAGGTGGGGAAGGGTGAGCCTGGGATGCCACTCCAGCCCTCTGGACTCCTCCCCACTGTGCTTTTCACTGGGCAGCTGCCTGCTACCTCCAGCCTGACCACTCTCTTTTCTCTCTGCAGATTGGGCACATCGAAGGACAGCCTGAAAGGAAGGGGGTCTTTCCGGTGTCCTTTGTTCATATCCTGTCCGACTAGCAAAAAGCAGAACCTTAAGATTGCCCTCATCCTTCATGCAAGACTGCTGCCTCCATGTAACCCTGTGCACAATGTGTATATAGCTGCTGTTACAGAGTAAGCAACTCACAGGAGGGCCGCCTCAGGAGGGGAGCGTAGTGTGTGTTGTACATAGCCTGTGGTCTTCTGCCTTCACCAGTATTAGGGTAGCCTTGGGAGCCGGCGCGCCTTACTGGTTTGCCAAAGCCATCCTTGGCATCTAGCACTTACATCTCTCTCTCTCTCTCTCTTTCTCTCTCTCTCTCTCTCTCTCTGCTGTTTTACAAGCAAACAAACAGAAACAGGAGTATAGGAAAACTGCTGGCTTTGCAAATAGAAGTGGTCTCCAACAACCGTTGAAAGGCATAGAATCAACTCTCTGTTCCTAACAATGCAGTATTCTCAATTGTGTTACTGAAAATGCAACATTAGCAAAGAGGTGGGATCTGTTTTCCAGGTGAAACTTTTAGCTCCATGACAGACCAGCCTGTAGTTATCCGTGTACACAGTTTACAGCTATAAAAACCTACTTTGGTATTTATTACAGAAAAGTGCTCAGTTAAATGTAAGTGTTATTCCTCCAACAAAATATTCACTGACCCAAAACTCCTTGTGACATTTTACAATGCACACAGCCTCCTGCAAGTTTAGACAAGTGGGTTTGGACTGGCTTGTGATGACGAGTGCCCGCCCTGAGATATTACCTCATTATGCAAAAATAACATATCCTTCATGACTATTTTGACAAAAGTTTAAGACACGTCTGATGAAGTTCAACTTTCAGGAACCAAGGACTGCAGAAAATATTAGCCTCTACATTATGCATGCATCTAGAAGCTTACCTGAACTCTGCCTTTTATAAAGGAATAGTATGAATAAGTTGAACTGTACATTTTTTTAAACTTGATTGCCATTAAAGCAGAAATTATAAGGTTGCAACAGTATCTGTTTCTGGTCAGTCATTTGGCTTTCTCGAGAGTATGGATTTACATATCGTATTATGAATCAGCATCCCTCAAATGTGTTGAAGCATCTAATGTGTCAGTTTTAAATTATTTTCGTAGTTTTATTCTTGGATACATTTAAACTTTTAAAAGATTATTCGAAATGAATTTAAATGTCAGTCCCTCACACAGTTTCCCTACTGTAGGATCCAGGTGCTGAAACCTTTTCTTTTTCCATGCTCTTTATTGAACCCCAATTACGAATCCGTTGCTCAATCTTACACTCCATCCAATAGACATGTCACCTTCAAGTCAATTCATAACCAAGTTTTGGACCGCTGCTATGAATTGCACTGTGAAAAAGCACTCTTCCTGCAAGGAGTCTCCCTCTCAGTTTTCTTTTCATCCCAGCCATGTTTATCAAACCATTGAGAACGTTGTACCTCTGTCTCTTCCATCAGTCTGGATTTTGGTCAGTGGAACTGTTCTTGATTCCGAGGCTCATGTGTCGTTCTGGCATTCCATTTGCTTAAACTGCTATTTTCACAGCAGCACAGAAAACCAGTATTTTTAAGCAGATAATCTTGGCAGTGAGAAATGTTAATTTCACAGAAGCACAACTCCCGACCAACCCTTAGGAAAAGCCCTCTTTCATCGAGTCACAGCGCTCAGTGAATATTAATTTAGTTCTGCTTAAGTAGTTACTATGAAAACTTCGAATAGTCACCTAATGAATACGCCTTGCATGACAAACCTGCACAATATTTTATCAGCTGTTATTGGAAAGTGATTTTAAGCAATTGCTTCCTCAGTGTCAGGACACACATGGATGCCCACGCCAAGCCGAGAGTACGAGGAAGCGGTCACCATGCTGGTGTGGGACTGGCCCCGTTAGCAGCCTCGGTACTTAGGCCGCACTGGTGTCCAGACAGGAAGTCAGTGTCTGAGGTTGCTCGGTGTCCCAGTTCATTCACGTACACATTTTTAAGTTGCATTCAAGAGCTATTCATTTTTTTGGTGTGCGTTCTACACTCTTTTCAGCCGATCTCAGAATAAACTAGGTTTAAAAACACACACTCATAAAAGCTACATGTCTAAAATTACACGGACTTGGTGTCTGTTCTTTTTCCCATTTTGAAGCAACTTACACAACATGCACATTTTAACACTTTTTTTTTTCCTGGTTTTATTTTTTCCTTCAGGAATTTGACTTCTCTCAAATCCAGCTTACTGTGGGACATAGGAAAACAGGTAGAAATACCTTTGGTGATCTTGTTGAGTTTAAAGTTGGTCACGTTCTTAAGCTCAGTGAGGCACTATCTGCAGTTTTGTACATGATAGAGTATTTTGAAGGTATGGAACCTTATGGGAAAACTAGCAAATTAGATTCTTTTTCCCCCAGAGGGGAAAGTTATGTTCTGCAAATAGTGTGTGTCTTACTTGACTGTTGAACAGCAATTGCTATTTATTTTTTTATTGCCTAGAACGTCGACGTGTTGTATAGGAATCCCATAGTGCCACTAGTTAAATTACGAATGCTCATCTGGGTGTTACCATCAGACATCAGTACACTTGTCATTTCACATGTATTTAATGTGACAGAATTTCAGTACTGTATGTGTTAATTTCTACTTTTTTTAATATTTAAAATTGCTTTTAAATAAACATATTCTCAGTTGATCCCAAACATTGAAATCAAGCCGTTTTGTGACTTTTCCACTCCTCGCCTGACGAGAGGAGAACTTTGGGGTGGATGTAGATAGCATGTTGTTCCAAGTCCTGGTCTGAGCGCAGGCTGCACTGGTGAACTGTGCCAGCCTTCCCGCCCTACAGACGCTGGACCTCGGTCCCCTCCACCTCCAGGGCACCCACCTCTGTTCTGTTTGTCTGGACACAGCAGAAGCGTCATGAGGATTGTTTTGTATTTTGCCAGAGGGTGCATGCGCTCACCAGAGAGGGAGGGAAAGGAAGAAAGCATCTCCCCAGGAAGCATGGCCATGCTGCAATCCTTACTTCCTTTTCCTCTTGGGATTTTGGGCATGCATGCACACTTGCCCAGCATGAGTTTTAGCTGCCAGGTCTGGGACTCAAACACAGTCAGCCACGTGGGAGTCCAGTGCCTTAACCAATACACCACCTGCTGGGCTCCCTCCACCCCTAGCAGGTTTTTCAAGCTGCTGGGGCTGGGATTCCCAACTCTGTAGTCAGCCATATGGGGCCTGGCTCCCTTAGCCACCGGGCCTCAGGCTGGTCCAAGGGTTGCATGTTAATTCATGTTAGCGCATCGACAGCTCTCAGTGCCCGGTACAGACAGGCTGAGTCTGCGCTGGGCACCGAGAGCCTTTGTGAGCTGTCACAAACTGCCACACTGGTGCTGCCTGGCACAGGGACAACCCGTGCAGGACTCCGTTGGCATCGTCTTACCAAAGCTCTACCAGCTCAAGAGGGGCGTGGACCTCCCAGCTTGCTGAGCTAGGAAGAGGCTCACTGGGCAAGATCCAGTCATGGACAGGAAAGCCGCCATGCCAGGAAGGAGCCCACACAGGTAGCCTGTCTCCAAGGCCATCCTGAGGATTTCCACCCACAGACCACGTCTCCATTATGAGGTTCAGCCAGAGAGAACTACAGTGGTGGAGAGCAAATGGTGACTTCAAAAACAAGGACTCTGGAGTGCTAGTCATTCCTCCCGTCCCCTTCGTGAGTGCTGGGCAATGCCTGACCACACTGCCATTCCGGATAAACCGAGACATCGTGTTGCCAGAGAAAGGGCTGGGCGTGGAAGCCCGAGGCTGTCTACAGGGCATTTCTGCGGGGCGAACATGACGACCCGGTCATCCAGGCAAGGGCAGCAGCGCTCCATCCAGTCACAAGCACAGTTTCGCATGGGTCGTACCATTATGAGCTTATAAGGCTTGTGGAAAAATTGAATTAAGTAGCTTATTTTGGTGCAAAACTAAAAGGTTACATTTGTGCATAATTTTATCACAATATTCGTTCTCCATGAACTTTTCAAAGACCCCTCGTATGTGGTTTGCCACCTGAAACGGTATCTGAAACTGATGGACATTGCCCACCACGGGCAGGCCCTGCAGGGTTTGGGCACGTGGCAGCCTGTGATGCTAGAGATGGGGGATAATGTGGACCTCCCCCTGCAGGCCTCCACATTGCTGGGCAGCCCCAGTGTCCTGTCCAGGGCCCAGTCTGAACAGCAGGGAGCAGCCTTCCCAGACATGTGGCTCGTGAGGCTTAGCAACTTGCTTAAGGTGTCACAGTTCGTGGGCTCAGCAGGATAAACCCACATCTTTGTGGCCCCATAAACCTTCCCTCCTCCCTACTCTGCTTTTTTCTCCTCTGCCCCAGCCCTGCACCCTCTAGTCCATTTGTGTGGGGTTGTTTGGTTTTAGTTTTTAAGTCTGTCCCACTCCCTAGAACGTCTGTGTGTGGCAGGGCCGGGTCCGTAAGGTAATTAGGAAAATCGTGCCTGATCTGCCTTAGCTGTCACTGTGCGTTCTCGCCTCTCCCAAATGGAAAACCTTTATTTCCCCAGCTGTCCAGTCTGTCTGTCATAGCGCTGACAGCCTCGCACTCCAGCATGAGGCCACAGCCGAGGAGGGTCCTCCCCACAGTGCTAGACTGACGGTGCACTCCCCAGGTCTCTGCAGCCAGCAGGGGATCAAGGCAAAGTCACCTAAATTCCCTTACGGTACACCTCAGCAGTAAGGCTGGTACTCCCACAGACACTCCCCTGTGTCGGGACAATGCCAGGCCTGTGCAAAATCAAGCCTCACCCTGTCCCCAAAGATGGCTATGGGCTCCCCTGGCAGAGAGCAGCCTGGAGGAAGGGAGCAACCCAGCCCAAAGCCCACACAGACTGTGGGGACAGTGTGTGGCACCCCAGGGTCACCTGTGCTGTCATCTATGCCAACGAGCATAGTACCTCCTCGGCACTGCTGACTGGCACCTGTTCCGAGGGCTCTGTGGCTGTTGCGGTGCCGAGGGCCACAGCAGCACTGGGAACCCTTTCTGTCCCAGTTCGCAGATTAGGAGACTGGTGCTCAGAGAGGGTAGGTTGACTCACTGCAAGAGGAGCCGCTCGTGAAGGCTGGAGGCCTGACTTGACACCTAGTGTCAGGAGCAGGGCTGCCTCTGCTGCACCTCAGTTCCCTGCTGCCCATTCTGAAGACAAGTGGTCAGAGCAGGGCTGCCCCCAGCCTCTGCCAGCAGGTTGGCCACCGGGAAGTGTGAACTATGAAAGACAAGATTTTTTTCTGCCGCAGTGTGTGTATACATGCACGGGGAGCGGGAGAGAACGCCCGGGGCCTGGTTGCACTACAGTCCTTTTTGCTCTGAGTCTGCATCCCATCGGCATCCTGGACGCACACCTGGGCACACAAATGGTCTTCAAGCCACCAAGGCTAGGACTTGAACACTGGTCAACCGCATGGGATCCATCTTTACCTGCACTGCACTTGACTGGTCACTAGGGGACTAGCCCTTAAACCATGGAATAAAATGAAGTTTCCAGTTTGGAGAAGTGATAGCACCAGCCAGAGGGCCTTGCAATGAGCATTTCCAGGACAGCGACTGTGCCCTTCGGAGCGAAGCTTAGCTGGCTCCCAGGGTGTCCTGGTGCCCAAAATATGTGACCGAGAAGAACAGTGCATGAGTGTGCGTGTCCCTCTGAGAGCATGGCAGCCCTGAGTGAAAACGTTGAAACACTTACGCTCCTAAAAACAGAATTACAGCTCAGATAAACACAGCTGTTTTACAAAAATCTTACCACACAGCAACCTGGTCAGAGGCACAGGGGCCCAAAACTGACCTGCAAAACCACCAGGGGGAAAGCCTTGTTGGCCCCACTCTTCATGCAGGACTTAAAACTTCACTTGACAGTTCCAAGCAGATTTGAGAGCAGAGGACGACAACTGTCATCTGCAAGCTGGCCTGAAAAGCCAGCAGGGCCAGGTGCTGCAAGTGTGACCAGCATCCCCTGTGGTCCTCTGTATTCCAAGCAGGCCCCGGGCCCTGTCCCTGGGGCTCTGAATCCTGCATCTCAGAAGGGGCCCAGGAAGCTGCCCTTCACCATGTCTCTGCACCACCAGGAGTCCCTAGTCACCAAGCACTCGAATTGTCGCCAAAGGGAAGATGGCCTGGTGTCCCAAGGAACCCAGGGACCCCTTCTCATCACAGACTCAGCACTTAGGGAGCTACCGCTGTCATTATCCTGCTACAGTGAGGTGCATTGAGGAAGACAAATTGGGGTTCTCCAGACCTAGTTCCCCCGGCCTCAACCACTTATCAGCAGATGTGTGTAACAGACAAACTGAAAGGCCAGTGTGTGCACGGCCCCTCTCTGCAACCCTGGCATGTTGCTTAAGTTCTCTGATCCTTAGGTTTCGGTAACTGTCTCAGCTGGGGAGGTTGTGGGTTCAGAAGCGGGACTCTTCTTGGTGACTTGCCTGGTGCCCGCCCTTAAAGAGCTGGAGGTGTGAGTTCACAGGTTCAGCCTCTGCTTCCTTGGCCTGGTGTGAACCAGGATGCAGGGCCTAGTGCCCCATGTCACCTGCAGCTGAGCTTCTGACACCTGGGCCCAGAGGGACAGGGTTTCAGGAGAATGAGAGTTTAGGCTTTGGGGGTGTTGGTTGGTTTTAGTGTTTTGCTATAGATCATTTTTAGTTTTGTGCTGATACTCAGTAGAGAGAGAAAGAAAGAAAGAGGAAAGGTGAGAAATCACCTCCCGCAGAGGATGGCCATGCTGCAATCCCTTCATCTCCAGCCTCCTCAGGATTTGGGGTACATGTGCCCAGCAAGGGGCCACGTCCAGGACGTGAACCACATGGCACAGTCAGCCATGTGGGATCCAGCGCCTTAGCCTCCATGCCACCTTCTGGTCCTTAGAGTCTGGGCTTTGGGATCAGAAAACCCTGGACGCTGAACCTTAAGCTCTGCAAGCTTCGGTTTCATCCTCTGCCTGAATGGGATGATAAAAGTCTTCATATCATACAATGAGTGTGAGAATGAAGTGAAAGAGAGCCGATCCCGTGGTGCAGTGGTTATGGGAGCCAGCACCCACATGGCCAACACAGCTCAGATCCCGTTGGCTTAAAAAACACACTTGGCACATGAGTACATGTGTCCCAAATCCAAACAGATAGGCAAAATAGAGAAGGGATTTTGGTGTGGACACTCTTAGCTGGGATGGTCTCACCCTGCACCCCAATGAGCATGAGCACACGCACTTGCTGGCCAGGAAAAAAAAAAAAAAAAAGTGTAAAAAGAAGGA